CTTGAAGTCACTTGGCAAGGACTGAAGACTGGTGCATGGCGTGAGATTTATGGACGACGTATCGCTTGCAGTTGCTTTCAACAGAGGGAAGGAGAGGTCTGTGCAAAGAGTTGTGCAGATAATGGAGAGTTTCCAGGAGTGCTACGGGAGCGAACTCTCACTCGTCCAGACGGACGATGAATCGAACACTTTCGATTTCATTGGAGCGCAGATCACAATCACAGCGGGCAACATCCATTTTTTCATGGAACCGAAGGTGAAAAACGAGTACCGGGAGAAACAGCAGCAACTTGTCTTCAGATGCTACCAAGACTTCAATTCCTACACAGACAAGAAGACAAAGATCGGAGCCATCACGGGTAGTCTCCACTGGATCCAACAGATGGCGAGCAACGGCAGTTCATTGGTCCGCCCAGTTCTCGCCATGAAACAGGAACTCCTGCGCCGGGATTATCCCTCGGCGCTCTTCTTCTCGACCTAGTGAGGTTTGCTAAGGGCACCAGAACTCTCAGGGAGCCATGGGAAAGGCTATCTGAGAGCCTGGTTTACTGGCACGGAGTGTCAAGACTACAACGGGTGTTCAAGCCTCTGTAGATACACTAACTAGGGACTGTACAATGCAATATTCTTGTATAGCCCCCTAAAATTTCTGAGAAGTACGTTATTATGTCGACTGCAGTCGTGGGAATAATATCGTTTTTTGTACATTGCCTTTTCGGAGTACTATATCGTTTTGTATTTTGCTTTTTGTTTTTCTTGGAGTACTATCTGCATACGGCCGCGACTGTAGGGATAGCATGTAAATGCCTGGTATTAGCAAACTGTAGTTCGGGTTAGCCAGCCTAGGCAGCTTGCTGTGTAGGCAGGATTGGAATTGGAACATTCGAATTTGTTCGGCGGTAAGTTAGGGCCCGTAGACGATGGCACGCTGTGGTGCGTAGTCGGATGTCAGTTCATACCCGATGGGCGTGAAGTGTACTGGCGGGAAAGAAATGAAAGTCCGAAGCTGCGCAGTTCAAATTTCCATGTATGACGGGTGAACATTTTACAGACCGGTAGCTGACGCATACATAGTGCCAGTTGTCGTGAATAGCATGGACTTTCTGATAGTAGGTGGAGTAGGGTCCAGCCTGGACGCTCATGCATGTTTAAGTCCTATTCGACTGCGGGTGGCACACAGGTACTGATCCGGGCGCGGAAACTGATAGCGGGATTGGAAAGAAATATTGAGAAATAGCTATTGGCCCGTTTCGTGATTGGCTGGTAGCACCTAGGATTTCCGTATTTCCCCGGAAATTCCCAGTCATCTTCTACTGGTCAGTGCCCACCCTTCTTTAGGCGGGAAAAAGCTTCCAACGACGTGGACAAATTTCAAATTGGTGCGGCAGTACCCCGTAACTGACTACCGAGTAGGACTACAATGCGGCACGGAGAGTTTAGGCATAGGTAGTCGTTTCTGTATTAATTTGAGGGCAAGGCCGTCGGCCCTCATTGCTCAGTGGCAGGACAGGTAGGTGGGTGCCGTAAGGCGGATCCGAGGAGAAGGCCCCTGATGCACTTCCTGGCTGAAACGTGCGTAGGGCAATGAGCGCGTTTCTTCTGAACTCAGTGCGTGCGGTTGAGCATGGAAATTTCTGTTGAAGCATGCACGAAGGACAGTCTATGGCCTCTGTTTATCACTATTCTTCTTCTTCCTGTTCTTCTTCTTCTTCTTCTTCTTTGGTTGGTGGGAAAGTTTTGCGCTTACGAGCACAGTTCTGCAGTCTTCACCTTAAATAGAACGGCCGGTCATTATACGCCCGGTGTTTAGACCAGCAATAAGTCCAGATATGGCGAGAACGACCAGGCGAACCTATTCAGGTGGTCAGTGAAGACGGTAGGTGTTCTCCCTGATGAGCTGGGTGCAATACAAACGAGACAGGTCTGATCTGCGGGCATAGATGATGATGATGATGATGGTGATGACGATGATGATGATGCTGATGATGATGCTGATGATGATGATGGACAGTGCTAAGAATAGTGCGCGCTCAGGACCAATTCGTTGTCGTCCTTCGGGCTTGCCGCCAATGGTGGCTATTGAAAAGGAGCGGCTTGATTAGGCAAGGCAAGTTTGTCGAAGATTTAAAAAATAAAAAAATAAAAATAAAAAAGAGCCACGTGGGAAGGACATTCTAAGACTACCCGTCTTCCCCCGAACATAACGCATATGCGTTGTATTTGAGTTTTTTTGGGGAGGGGAAATCGAAATTTTTCGAATAGAACTCACGTGGGTTGTACTCGAATACCACGGCTATTCGAATAGAACACGTGCGTTGTATTCGAATATAGAAAGCGACTTCTGCGTTCTATTCGTTTACAAAGCGTATGCGTTATGTTCGGGGGAAAGACGGTAGACCTCATCAATGAAAGCCCTTGCTGAAATGTGGAACGTTGCGCTCATTTTTTTTCCCTTTCCTGAGGGCATACTTCACACTTTGCCACCTCTTCTGTTTTTAAATCTATCTGACCACAATTACGGCCCGACCTGCGTGCACCGGGACCGCAATTACGGACAGACCTGCGTGCACCGGACCGCAATTACGGCCAGACCTGCGTGCACCGGAACGCAATCACGTCCAGTGCTGAGCCCAATATCCTCATCAATTATTACGACATGATTTTATTTATTTATTTATTTTTAATTATTTATTATTAGTATTATTAATTTATTAGGGTTACATCGAAATTCTTTACCAAATTTAAAATAAAAAATAAAATAAAAAATAAAATAAAAAATAAAATAAAAAATATATTATTTTTAATTTTATTTTCTATTTTTTTTGGCCCGGCCGGGCAAGTGACCCCGGGCCACTCTGGTAGCCTAGATTATTATTATTTTAATGATTTCTGACTTCCGGCATTCAATGAGACCCCAGCCACGTGGCTTGCTAAGAGATTCTCCGCGGACGATCAATTCAATCCGTAGATTCGAATTCTCTTTCCTTGTTCATCTTCTTCGTCTCATCTTCCTCTCCCACCGGGCATGCTGATATTTATTTATTCCTTTTTTTTTTTTTTTTTTTTTTGTCGGTGGTCGTAAGTGTTGGAAGCTACGTAAGGCGGAGCGGGGTGTATGGAAAGCCTCCTGAGGAGTCCTTAGGGACATCTGTCAAAATTGGAACGATAGAGAGAACCTAGACAAGATGAGCATGGCCCCTGCGCAAGGATGACATGCATAATCGAGAAATGATCCAAATTAAAGTAAAAAGAAAAAGGAAAAAGAAAAAAAGCCTCCTGAGGATGACCGCAGCGCTAGCGCTCGAAACGCGGCGTCGAGGACCGTGCGCGTTGCTGAGTAATTAAAAAAGAAAAGAAAGGGGGCAAAAAAAAAAGACTTCCTTGGTCGTCATCTCTTTCTTCTTCTTCTCCTTCCTCCTCCTCCTCCTCCTCCTCCTCCTCGTCCTCCTCGTCCTCCTCCTCCTCCTCCTCCTCCTCCTCCTCCTCCTCCTTCGTGGGTTGCTGAGTAATTGCACGTGCGGATTAGGAATGAAAAGCTTGAGAAGCATGTACTGAAAGCAATTTCACTATTTCCGCACTATTCTTCTTCTTCGTCTCCTCCTCCTCCTCCTCCTCCTCCTTGGGTGCTCCTCCACCATCTCCTCGTCCTCCTCCCCATGGAACCTTCGTCTTATTTGCTTTCTTCTTCTGCTTCTCTCTCTCTCTCTCTCTCTCTCTCTCTCTCTCTCTCTCTCTCTCTCTCTCTCTCTCTCTCTCTCTCTCTCTCTCTCNCTCTCTCTCTCTCTCTCTCTCTCTCTCTCTCTCTCTCTCTCTCTCTCTCTCTCTCTCTTGCTGCTGCTGCTTCATCTCATCCTTGCCGCGAAAGCACCGCCACGTGGTACGCGCACGAGCACTTTGCGCACTGAGACAAGGGACACGTGGCTGGGTCTGCATTATTGCTTATCGAGCAGATTGTTTCGTAACGAAATTGGCTACGTGGCAGTCACGTGGCTAGGACTGCTTGTGAACGTTCTTTACCTTCTTTCTTCTTCTTCTTCTTCTTCTTCTTCTTCTTCAGACGGTGGTGCCACAAGGCGGGGAATGAGGATAGCCCCCTGAGGATGATCGGAGCGCAACCGATCGAAACGCGTCGGGGATTGTGCGCGAGAGCTGAGACGAGTATGCGCGGCTTTGTAATGAAGAGCTTTCGATGCGTGTACGATAAGGCAGTTGGCCACTGTTTTCCTCTATTCTTCTTCTTCTTCTTCTTCTTCCTCTTCTTCTTCTTCTTCTTCTTCTTACACTTATTCTTCTTCGTCTTCCTCTTCGTCTTCCTCTTCGTCTCCTTCTCCTTCTTCTTCTGCTTGCCACGTGGCACGGTCATGTCGGCCCCTCCCCTTCTTTGACGTCTTTCTCATTGTTCTCCGTTTCCCGCCATCTCCACCAGGAGGCACCTTTGCCACGTGGCACCTTTGCCACGTGGTACCTTTGCCACGTGGCACAACCAGAGGCCCTCCATTTCCTTCTCCTTTCCCTCTCCTTTCGAGCGTTCTGCTCCACTACCTCCCGACCCCGACCCCGACCCCGACCCCGACTCTGCCTCACGAAGTCAGAGGGAGAGGTAGATCCCTCCCAAGCTCTCCCAAGGGGAGCACGCACTACCTTCTTACCCCGAATACAACGTACGGTCATTATAGCTGTATCTAGACTGAAAGATGCCTCAAATGCAGCGATAATGACCGTACGTTGTATTCGGGGAGCACGCACTAGCGTCAGTCGCACAGCAAATGAGCGCTGGGTAGGAGAGGAGAGAGGTAGAGAGAGGGGGCAAAAAAACAAGAGGACGAAGAGTTGAAAAGGGAGAAAAAATGCAAAATCAAAACAAAGAGAATGAGAACCTCAGCGCGCTGCGGAGGGACGGCAAACGAAAGGTGGGGGGTCCAGGAGGATTTCGAAGGGAGGCCAAAGAACCAAAGAGACTCACGCACAAGAACCACGAAGGACACGCCATTGCAACTCACCGCTCCTATCGTCGGCACGTCCACAGATCTCTCTCTCTCTCTCTCTCTCTCTCTCTCTCTCTCTCTCTCTCTCTCTCTCTCTCTCTCTCTCAC